AGTTTTAACACATCAATAGTAAGGTTAGTTTGGTAAAATAACCGTCAATTAAATTTTTTTAAAGAAAGTACGTCAGGTTAATATCAAGTAATATGAAATGGAGGGAGTAAATATTTATGTTAATTAATTTAATGTCTAATCAAAGTTTAATGATGTTTTAAACGCATAATAATTCGTAATTACTCATTTTTTATGCAATATATATTTTTCCTTTTTCTAGTTATACACTCATACTATCATTTACTAAATTATACTAATCACACGTGGAATTTGTATTTAACCTATAGTTATTAAGCAATCCATATATTCAAATTAAATTTAAGTTGTTGAGTTAATGAATTATATAAGCAATTTGACTAAAAGTTTTATGTTAAATAATTTTATTTATTTAATTATACTTCTAATATGTCACCTATATGTGAGCCTGCTTTTCTTTTTATGGATCGGATAAATACCTAAATGATATTGATTTAAACTTTAATTCAAGACGATCATATAACCGTTTCATCTAAATTTATTTTATAAGAAGATTTTTTTTTATTTCCTCAATTTTATTAAATCTTTTAACAACAAATGGCTTTAGTGTATTATCTAGGACCTCATGTAGTGTTAGTCCAAAATAAGGTAACAACTTGTATAAGAATAATGTAATAATTACTATATTTCCATATGAAATACGTGTGATTTTTACTTTTTAAGTGATTTTTTTCCTCAGACACAATTATTAAAAAAGAAAAAGATACTGATAGGCTATCTTTTTTGAAATTATTGTATCTAATTATTTTGTCCACAAATTACTCAGATGAATTATAATATTTTGTAATGACGTATAATTTTTCTCTAAGTAGTCAAATTATATGTAATTAAATACCTACATAGAACATGACCTTTTCATACTAATTATTATTTATTTTTCTTTAAGTCAAAAAAGATTGCCATATTGTTCGTGAATGTGATGTAATACACACGGAAAATAATAATAATTTAAAGTTAAAAAAATAAAAAAGAGAGTTACGTGTAATTAATTATGTAGGCCATTTTATTTTTTTAAATATTTGGGTCAAAGTATAGTCTTTAACGTTACTTTTGCGGCACAGATTATTAAGTCAAAAATTTCACGTTAAGAAAATATCAATCTTGATATAGCATGCACACGAGGGGTTTAGCTCGATTTTATATATTATCAGTCTAAATAATTTTTTAAATTGGTAAATTATTTTAAATATATATATAATTATTTTTATTTAAAATTATGAGATTTAAAATCTACAGAGTTTATAAATGGCTATAATTTTTTTCTTTAGATAAAAACACGAAACGTGACATTTTGAAGTTGAAAATAAAGTTTTAACGAGTTGTTGTAATGAAGCTTTTAAAACTGTAGGTAGTTAGCTGATGAAAAATTAATGAATTCTTCCAATTCAATATAAACGTCATTTTAGTCCTATTAATTTGTTAAATATCCATAAAAAAGTGTTGCTTAGGAAATTTTAGAAAATTAAATACACTATTTATTATTTATTTTATTTTGTTATCATATTATTTGTTATTGTTAGTGTTCATTCCATCATTATCCTTAATTATTCTACCATCTTTTTTTCATATATATATATATAAAAGATTGTGTATACATCATATTTTTCAGATTTCACATATAGAATTATATTGAGTATGTTATTTTTGCTCTCGTTATCCTGTAATGCCTAAATTTTTATATTATAATACATTATATTATAAAATTTTTGATTTCGTTTATGAGCTCGACGTTCGAAAATAATTTTATTACGTGGAGGTTGTTGTATGTTGTCAATAGAGTACGTGACATCCTACTCATTACATAGTTTACTTGTGATTTTTTCGATTTTCTAAATTCTTTATAATATAATGATGCACGTGAAATTGTCTAATGAACAAACGACCAAAGATTTATAAGATCTCAAATGATTCCTTTGCTATGTTATGAGTTTATATTTACAATATTGTAATTATTCGATATAATTTTAAATTTTAAATTCGTCTCTAGCTTAAATTATAATCATGATTGAATACAGTATTTATTTGATATAATTGATTAAGAAATAAAATTTTTGATTTTTGTTAGGTTGATGATAATAAACGCATAATAAATATATAAAGCTAAAATCAATCATAAAATTGATTATTAGAGAAGGGGATTGTTGGGTAACACCAAGATTCCATATATATATATATATATATATATATATATATATATATATATATATATATATATATATATATATGATGAATTGGGAATGACTTGTATTCGAGTCATGATCAAATGTAAAATCTTTTGATAGAGTTATTATTTAAGAAATAAAATTACACTAATATTATCAGTTAATATATATCACGATATACTTGATCTTAATTATTTCTCTATTAGCATTTTATACGTTACACTGATATTATCAATTATAGTTTTTGACACGATGAACTTTATCTTAATTTTATTTTTATTAGCATTTTGTTTAAGGAAATATTAATATATAGTTCCCATGCGCATTTGCTCTTTCTTTGTTTCTTGTGTGGTAGACAATATATAGACCACATACTTCCCAAGAACTAAATAAATTATTATCATTTCTAGAAATTAATTTATTGCTCTTATTATTACATAATTTTATGTGTGTTTTCATTTATTTATTTTTTGTATATTATCTTCAACAAATGTACCAAATATTTACCATGGTCAAAGGAGAACATGGTGTAATTACAATATGCATGAATGTGTTGTTTTTTATTGTACATTCATGCATGTAATATAAATTGATTAGATCCATCAAATATTAAATTAAGTACTAATTAGGTTCACAATAATATATATGACGCCCATACCCTTTAATTCTTTAACTATTATACTGCTAATAATAATATAATCAATATAATTTTATGAGTGAATCTGAAAAGAATAGCATGTACGCAGTTTTATATTTATCTTATTTAAGTTAAAAAATTATTTCAACAGACTCCTATCTCAAATAAAAGTAATTATCTATATATGATGATATGTATGTGGAGAATATTGATATTTTATAGTAAGTGTATATATTATTTATTTATTAATTTTTTCCCACCATCAATGGCGAAAATATAATAATCCTGATTGAAATAATTTGATTCGAGGATCAATTTTTTTAAAAAAAGATAACACGTGTTCATTTTATATGGAAGTTTTATTCCATTTACAAAAATGACTTTTGCAAAAATATGTGCATGTAAATAATTGGAAAAATAAAAAAAAAGTTAAGATACTTGTAATAAGTTATATACATATTATAAAGTTAATAGTATAACATAAATTAAAGAAAGCTGCATCGTCATAATGAAATATTGTTATAGAGTAATTGAAGTAGATAAAATTCAATTTTAGTCTTAATTTTGATGAATAAAATTATACGATACTTATTTTTGATAAAAAATGACAAAAATAATTTTTTAACGTAAAATATATAACATGACCAAGACACTACGTGAAATCTTCTTAAATAGTCAAATGTATTGTTGAAGGCATGTTCTATAAACTAATTGTAATTAAGGGGAACAATATGTCTCATACGTTGAATATAACAAGGAAATACGAAGAAATAAAATTTGTTGTGATTCCATGTATCATATCATAAAATATATATGTACACATATTGTGGATCGCATTTTTTATAATATAATATAATATAAATAGTACCAATTTAAATTTGGGAATTCATAAATATATTGTAATAACAAAATATTTATCATTTATGGCAACAATATTTTTTTTTCACTTGATCAATATTAATTCATTTATAATACAAGTTTAATACATATTATAAAGAACAATTTATTATTCACATATATACAAATTTTAATGATGTCTGATATATTTATCACACATTTTAATACGTTTTTATAATACAATGTATTAAATTTACCAAACAAACATGACATATTTTAAAAAAACAATTATAATTCATATATACTGCAGACATAATTCACTTTTAATTCATATTGCAGATCTAACATAATATTGCTATAAATGATAATAAATAAAAAAATATCACTAAAATCAGTAATTATTTATTAAAATGTACCAATTTATGTAATTTTTCCTTTAAATTTTGTCTTTATAAAAAGTTATAACTTTGAGTTTTCCCCAATATATGCAGCTTTTGTGTTGGATATATTAGGATAATTTAATAAGTAAATAACTAATTTTACGTTCATTTGGTTTATATTTGGTTTGTCAAGTTCTTTTTGAAAAATATATTCGAAAAAATTGATTGTTTGCCTATCAATTGACTTTTTAAGAGATTTTATTTTTACGTATAACATATCTCAGAAAAATATCACATTTTTCTATTTAATTTCTAAATGGTTAGGATATTATCTCATATAAGTATTACATGAGTGATATTTTACGTTGATTATATCCTCCTACCCAATCCCCAACAGACCTCATCTTCACCTCTATCCGTCCATTCCACCGTCCACACCTTCACCTATCATAATATTTGTCTAGACGATACATAATTTTTCAAAGATTATATATGTTTTAAACCAAAAATCATATGATGAATATACATGGGCCAAATATAATTATAGTTTATGGGCTTATTATTAATTTTGTCCAAGTTGGATAGCCTATGGTCCAATTCTGCAAAGCAGTCCAATTGCCATTTCGATTCCAACTTAAACTACAAATGACATAATATATTGGTTTCCGAAAAATTTCAAATTTGACGAGTTTTAATTCACGTTCAATATTCTTAACTTCTAGTTTTAAACGTTCACTCGTTGGATAAGCGATATCAAAAATTCAAAATTATTCATATTTTTTAAGTATATTATTTTTAATTTCCTACTATACCGCAAACCCATTTCTCTAATAAGAAAGACAAGCAAATTTATTCGAAAGAAATAGAAGTATAAATGCAAAACACATAAACAAACATTCAAAATTTGATCTTAACTCATAAATTACAATCTAGTTTTGAAGGTATACGTTCTAAAACTTTAGTTCAGTATCACATAATAACTAAATAATCCAATCCGTTCTCTCTATATTTTGTGTAGATACAATTATAAAATTTTTATGAATTAAAATATTTAGCGAATATTGTAAGGAATTAATGTGTTTACATGTGCGTACTCAAAAACGTCACGGTACGAAACAAATACAAAAGTTTGGCGCCTCTTTCTTCTTCATCCGTTGCCTTCAAACCCAAGCTGCCATGTCCATGTAGCAACACAGAGTTCTTAGCTTTTCAAAGCGAAAATCGAAAAATGAAGAATGTCCAAATACCCAAATTCAAATCATTGATCTCGTTAAAAGAAACTGAAGCAAATCCCCTTTTATGGCCGCCCAAATTATCTTCACTGTCATCATCTTTACAACAATATATCAATTCAGACACTCCTATTTTCGGCCAAAAGATTCATTCATACATTTTGAAAACTGGGTATCAACCCAATACTAACATATGTATCAAATTGTTAATACTTAACTTGAAAAGTTCTTGTCTTTTTTATGCCCGCCAAGTGTTTGATGAAATGCGTCAACCAACTCTCTCTGCTTATAATTACATGATTTCTGGGTATGTGAAACATGGGTTTGTTTTAGAATGTTTTAATATGGTTAGAAAGTTGTGTCTTTGTGGTGAAACTCCTGATAAGTTTACGCTATCAATGATTTTGAAGGGGTCTACTGTTAGCTATGCAGAGTCGTATTCTCTAGATATTGGAAAACAGGTTCATGCCCAGGTGATTAAATGTGATGTTGAGGGTGATGATGTGCTTTATACTGGGTTAGTTGATTCATATGTGAAGAGTGGGAGGGTGGATTATGCGAGGAGAGTGTTTGATTTGATGTTGGATAGGAGTGTTGTTTGCTCGACGTCGTTGATAACAGGGTATATGAATCAGGGTTATTTTGAGGATGCCGAAGATGTGTTCAGTAAAACAATGGAGAAAGATGTTGTGGTGTTCAATGCGATGATTGAAGGTTATAGTAAACAGATTGAAAATGCTAAGAAGGCGATTGAGGTTTATATTGACATGCAACGTTTCGGTTTTAGGCCTAATATTTCTACTTTTGCAAGTATTATTGGGGCTTGTTCTGCTCTAGCAGCATCTGAAATTGGTCAACAAGTTCAAGGACAGCTGATGAAGACTGAGTTAATTGAGCACGTTAAAATTGCAAGTGCTTTAATTGACATGTATTCTAAGTGTGGATTGGTTGAGGATGCAAGAAGAGTCTTTGACCACATGCATGAGAAGAATGTCTTCTCATGGACTTCCATGATTGACGGTTACGGGAAAAATGGGTATCCCGATGGGGCACTTGAACTATTTAGTATAATGCAAGAAGATCATCACATTGTTCCAAATTATGTTACATTTCTAAGTGCTCTCTCAGCTTGTGCGCATTCCGGACTAGTTGTAAAAGGAAGAGAGATTTTTGAAAGTATGGAGAGAGATTACTATATGAAGCCAAGGATGGAGCATTATGCTTGCATGGTTGATCTCTTTGGACGCTCAGGGAGCTTAAATCAGGCATTAGAGTTTGTAATTAATATGACTGAAAGGCCAGATTCTGATGTTTGGGCAGCTTTACTCAGTTCCTGTAGAGTGCATGGAGATGTGGAATTGGCTAATTTAGCTGCCAATGAGCTTTTCAAGCTAAGTAGTGGTAGTCGTCCAGGAGCATATGTTGCACTATCTAATGCTCTTGCGGATGCTGGTAGATGGGATGGTGTGAGTGAACTTAGGGAGATAATGAAGATTAGAGGAATATCAAAGGGCACAGGTTTCAGTTGGGTTGGCAGTGATGGTAGTTTGAACGCTTTTTTTGCTGGACAACAGACATAACTAAAGGTAAAAGTAGCAAGTTTTCACTCTTTTTTTTTTGTGAGAAGAGTTTTCACTCAGTCAATCTGATAACTTGTTTTTTTTTAATATACAGTTAAAGATCTCCAGAGACTGGTAGTAAAGAAAGGCATCGTTGCCAATCTGAAGCGACTTAACCATGCCTGAACAAGAAGATAGAAAATTGACATGTGACTTGTTGAAGTTACACAAATGGAAATTATACCTCCTCAGCTGCATGGTTTGGCTTTCTTCACCCTTGTACAAGGATTCAAGTTCATATACTTGAGTTTGTTTCTATCTCCTTCAAGGATTTAATTCTTTTATTGTTCCTATCTTTCAAATCAAGTCTCCCGCTATCCACACTTGTGTCAGGGGTGAAGAGAAATAATTTATTCATAGTCAAATCATACTAGCAGAGTCTGCTAGTGAGAGAGGAGTCCACTTTCCCGCATTTATCGATCAGGATCCTCAAGGCACCAAGAAGGTATGTTTCTTTGCATGGTTGGCAGCTAGGGACGAGATATTGACAATGGATGAGCTAATGTAGCATGTTTGCTGCGGATGGTCCTTATTTTGTTTTGGTGTGCAATGTGTAATGCTGTGCACAATGGAGAAGTGTTGCATTACTAGTCCTTCAAAATGAGGAAGAGAAGAAATAGGGCATGGATGTTGATCTGCTAGCTTTATTGTGGGTAACATGGAGGGAGAATAATACGAGAGCATTTAAAGGGGGTTGAAATAGATATCTGTTTCTATTTTTCTTTTGGTGCAGCTACCAGCGTCCCCTGTGTGTATAGATGATTGATGTCCTTTGTAGAGAATCATATTTTTGTGTAGGTTCTCTACGCTTAACTATACAACTTCTATACGGGGTTTCTCCCCACACATTAATAAATTTGTTTACCTTATTGAAAGTAAAGTTGTATTTGAGATACTATTTGGTACAGGTTGGATAATCAGTATTGCCATGTGCGAGAAGTGATTGTTAGATGAAACTGGGCAATAGTGAGAATACTGGAAACACAATCAGTCAATTATACCAAAATGTGTTGGCAGACACTCAACTGTTGGAGTGCCTGACCAAGTCAAATGTCTTTTATTTGTCTAGTTTTTTTCCATCCTCTTGAGCTTTACAGTCAATACCAGGTTGACATTTCTGTACAGTGCATGTAACAAAGCTGACCTTGTGGCTCCATAACATTCCAAGCATGTAGTTCTTCGCATTGCATGGAGCTCAGGTCCGTCCCTATAGACCGTCTAATTCATTATTGACTAAGGCCTAACAAGCAGACAGTCTATCTATTGATTTCCAAAGTGAAGCTTTTAAAAGTGACTTGATTTCTTGGAAATCACAAGTTTTATCATCAGTCTTAAGCATAACCTAGAAAAAAAAGGGGATTAAATGTGTTGTCCTCGGCCCGTTTACACAGCATCAAGGGAATGCTTAAGTCTATCTATCAATTGATGTGATAAATTCAATCTTTTTTGGGGAACTTGACTTCTTGGATAATCTTTACCATTATACTTTGTTTTTTGGATAATCTGATGAAAAGTAGGTCTTATAATATTTATGCATTGTTTGGCTATTAGGCATGTTAAATTTGATTTTGCATATGCCTTCCGTCGGTTATGGAGGTTTATCATCCCCATATCTGGTCTGGTTCTTAAAAGAATTCTTTAATCTGGTCCAGGCATTGACAGGGACATAATGCGATGCTTCTGTTAATGATTTGTGGAACTAAATATTCTATGCTTGGATGTTGGAATTTGCTATTTCATAATTGTGAAATTATCAAGAGGATGAAACTTATCAGTGCACATTGTGAAATTGCTGTCTCATGATTGTGAAGTTGGAAGTTACACGCTTAAGGTCTCTTAGTTCATGAATTGGGGCCATCAGAAGTTATTCCCGCATGTTGTTGGATAAAAAAACAGTTTACGTTTCTTCTCACATATGATATTTATCCTGAGCTAGTAACAAGTTCTAGTTTTAACTGCATGTTGTTTACTAACCATTGTTCTTATGCATAAATAGGATTCATAGAGGGTAGTCCAATGATGCTGTCATTAACATACTGGTGTATGGCCTTAAAGGTATTTATTTCCACTTGTGAACTTCGTACAAAGTTGTGCTATGAGTTTTTTCTGCAGTTCATTGCGTCTCCTGTTCTTATACCTTAATAGAAGAAGTATTTGAAGATAGTTCATCTTACTTGTTCAATGAAGAAGCTGGCGTCAATAGTGACTAGCCTCAAGGCTGTCTATACACTAAAAAGTGCTGGAGGAAACAATGGTGTTGATTTAAGATGGAGACACAGGTTTTAATTAGCTTTCTCTATATAGAAGAAAAGTTGATCTTTAGAAATACTGGCAAATTCCATGATTTGTTTGAAAAAGAAAAGCCAAAAGTAACGAATCAATAAACAATGAGAAAAACTTGTTGATTGCACTACGTTCATTTTATTGAAACTGAGTCTCTGGCATTTAATTCTTTTTTGCCTTTCTATGTAGTGATCAATGAAACGCCAAAGCTTGTTTTAGGGCTTAAAAATTACACCAGTTTAAGGGATTTATTCCTGATTCTTTGATTGATGACTCCTTCCATCCCAACTCCTGTTATTAAGCTTCATAGGGGATATTTTGGGTATGCTGCATCTTTGAATAAAGCAGCTTAAGCTGATTGAGCATTTACAATTGATTTAGAAAGAGTCTATTCTTGTTTTCAAATTAGCCTATACAAGTCGATAAAGGTGGCGTTTAGGTAGCCAGTATACGTCAGAAAATGGTGGTCTGTAATCCTATCCTACAGCTTCCTGCTGCTGAAATTTACAACTTTTTGGACTTTCATGTAGTCCCATGATTGAATGCTAGAGGGTCATGCAATTCTTTTTTGGATTTTCTAGTAATGTGCTCTTTTCAATTGCACTTATTAATGTAGTCCTCAAGGAGGGGCTGCAAGGTGGGTGCTAATTTTGTGTGTGTAGATAACTTTTTCATTATCTTTTGGCTCCATCTTGGTCTGTTGGGGTAAAGAGTGAGGAGGTCCATGGGATGATTGTGTTGTGAGGAACATTGGCACATTAACTCATTAACTGTATATTCAAGTTTGTTTTCTGGTTAACCTTATAATTTGGGCAATTATATTAAAGACTTATTTAGCCTTACACTTCCATGAGTTAAAAATACTTTTTCTTTCTCTTAAGTACATTTAATATTACAAATTTATCTTAAGTGGTTGTTGAAGGGTGGGAATTAGTTACGGTGACACTAAAGTTGTGATTTTTCAAAAGAAAATTTCAGCATTTTCCTTGGCTAATAGTTGGTGAATTCGTTCTTTGAGCTTTTTTAAGAGATTCAGCTTGATCGTTGTTAAAAAGGGCTCCGACTTCAAGAGCACTTTTTTTTCGATTAAAACAAGAAATACTATTACATATCAAGCAATGTTAGTGTGGTATAAAGGTGTTAGGTGGTGAAGGTGTATTCTCAAGATCTGCTTTATACACAAGTAGATATGTCAGTAGTTAAAATATCTAAGAATATCGAATTTCATTTCTATTTTGTCAGTGCAATTACATTTTTCTACTGAAATTGTTTGATTAAATTGAAATATAGTCCAGTGTGATTTTAGGGTGAACATTGTACCTGGAGCTGTTGTTCACTAGAATTCTCAGTAATGGGAAGCACTGATGCAAGGGTTGGACTAACAGTTTAAAATGCACGTTTGGCTTTATTTGCAGAATATATATTTGGCCATTAAATATCAGGAAAATAACAATCATGACTACTAAGAGTATGAAGGTGCTAAGCGTCAAGTGTCTGAATCACAAATTTCTTGTTTATAGATAGAAATGATGAGAGATTGGAGGTGCTCATGCATCAATCTACATCAAAATTTAAGGCTATTGTGCGGATGAAGCTTTTACAGTTGCATTTAAGCATGAATTGTTTGTTTAGGTTGATATTGGTCCTGTTATTGTTTTATGTCTGAATGTTATACTAGGAGTGGTTCACCAGTTGAATATAGTCATCTCCTATTGCCATCTTGAGGATTGGTGGGACACAGACAAAAAAGCTATCTTGCATGTAACCGAATAGAAAGAAAAATAAAAGTTACTCAAGAGGATCAGTGTGCTTTCCTTTGGAAAAGAACAAAGTTATGTGGTCATCTGTGCTCTTCACTTTTGTTTGTTCTGTGCTTATGATGAACTTGCTTTCCTTTACCTTTACCGTTACCACTCCTTGATAAAGACAATCCTTGGTAATCTTATAAACTGATTATTTGTTTTGCTTTCTCCTAGTTTTGTCATTGGAGTTGTAATTTGTTTACAGTTAGGGGCTAAACCCCCTCGGCATAAATTTACGTTGTATATACAATTTTTTATTTTTCTTTTGTACTTTTAGTGTATATATTTAGATTTGGTATCCCATGAATACAAGATTAGTGGTTGGTTCAGTGGTTTAGGAGTTCAAAATTCACCTTGAGGTTCCAAGTTCAAATCCAAGACTTCACCATGGGAATTGTTATCGAAGAATTGGTAAAAGACTAATTGTAGTTAATATTGTTGAGAGACACTGAGAAATTTTGATCGAAAAATAAGAGAAAAGGGCGTTAAATGCATGCCCTAACACCATTTTCAGCTGCAAATCTAACAAAGCACATGCATGTGGCAGCTATCGTGGTGACTAAGATTTTTTTCTTTTCATTTTACACTCGTGTTTTTGGTAGTTAGAAGTCTGATTTTAAATTTTCCGAGAAGTTGATGCAGATAGTCAGTGTCACTTAACGTCTGAGCTTCAAGCATCTTGCACGGATTAATCCTCTTCACAAGATATTATACACATGAAACATTGTCATAAATGAGGTAGCTGGGAAGTCCTATCAAGAAAATCCATCAATCCATGTTCTGCTGCCCCACCGATCACCAGGTCTAGCATATCAGGTCTCTAGCAATGGAGCTTTCGTCTTCAATCCCAATTGACAAGTCCTAATGCCATCTGTTTATGGAAAAAAACTTCTCATTAGCCTCAAGGAGCAGGTAACCATCGCCACACCTATGATGTTAACCTTAACCTTAGCTTTAGATAATATGAAGATGTGCTGGTCCCTTTCTTCTTTGTCATAGTCTATAATAAGGACTACTATATCCAACTCTGGTAAACAACTGGTACATGTAAACAACAATGACATACCCAGTGTATTCCCACAGAGTGGGGTCTGGGGGTGGATACAGTGTACGCAGACTTCACCTCTACCTCAGAGGTGAGCTAGAAAGACTGTTTCCGATAGATCCTCGGCTAACCAGTATATGTAAAGTACCTTTTAAAACCCATATTCATTGTTGATAGGAGTAGGACCATTATATTTATGCCCAGCCTAGGAGAGAGGGAGAGAGGGTTAAACAATATGCTGCAAGTTGTCATTGAATTGAATATACAGGAATTGGCTCTTCATTTTTCTTTTTCGTGTATAGACATCACGTCTACATCGATCTGATCTAACGGTCATGAGTGAGTTCTTTTACAGATACCTTGTGTCTGGTGTAAGAATGAGCAAACTCTTTTGTAGTCCCTTTAGAGTAAGTTTTATTAAAACTAGTTGGGTCCATGAAAGTTGACACGTTAGTTGTTTTTTTTTGTTTTGTCAACTTTTAGCCAAATTATAACAAAGACTGATGTCTTTTGGTAAAGTCTTCTATACTTGAATATATTTGCATCAACAACCTAATGTTTTACTATGTTGCATCAAGTCCCTTGATGTTCATGAAAATCCATAAAACTAGTAGTAATATTATCATGTAGCTACATAAGGAGACGAGCTGTTTGAAGATAGAACTATGGGGGTTGTGATCTAGTACGAGAGGTGGTACGTTTTGAGACAGGCGAGTGATTCTAAGTAGTCTTAACTGTGTTTAGTGATCATGTAGGCACTGGAGGTACAAAGTTCACACTTGTTTCCTTTGGTCTGAATCGTATTTGTATATATCGTTGAAAATACCTAAAAATACATAAATAGGTTAAGTTTTGGACCCATTTCTGCAAAGAAGTTATGGATGTGCTGACATTAACGTAGAATTTTGAAACCGCCTCTACATATAGGAGTACTTGATTATTCATGTCATTTGAGAAAGTTAGTTTGTTTAGTTCCGTGCAAGTAAGCACTGATATTTGGTAAGTTGTCGCTTTTACAAAAAGCCTATACATGTTTAGAACAGTGACTAGTGGCGGAACCAAGATTTTCATCTTGGAGATAAAAGCTAGTAAATTCTTGGCCGTGAATATTTGAACTGGTTGTTTACTGTTCAAACAAACTGATTAAGATATTTAATTGGAATGTTTTGTGATTCCAACAACAACCAAAGAATATCTACTAGGAAGAAACCAGACAAGTTCAGTTTTTGAGTGCTTAGATAAGTTCAAATGGTCCAATAAAAGTGGCCATATGGGAAAGGGGATTTCAACTTTTAGCCATAAGTGTTGTATCTTGTTGGTGGATAGGTCAAATAGGTGGTAGCTACTGTCAGTTTACTAATGAAAGCATTTACACAGGCCTCCTCCTTTTGTAAATGGTCCCCTAGAACCTTATAGTTTCTGAAAATGATATGTAACTAAAAATTTATAGACATTTATACTGGGAAACTGTTGTGCTAAGATTTGGTTTTCTGAGACCATAGGTTACTAATTTTACTCATAGGCTATTCATAATTTCATATTTGATATAACGACATAATCAATGTAGTCTCACAAGTGGGGTACGTATGGTGAGGATAGGATGTACGCACATCTTACCCCTGCCTTGGTTGGATAAAGAAGTTGTTTCCGGTAGACCTTCAACTCAAAAGAGAAGACATCGATGTTGTTGTGAGTCGTTCGTTTGAAAAGCTTTGTAGTTCATATAACAGTAGTTTGCAGTTCTTTTACCTTCCTAACAATGGAGGATTTAAATCTGTGTAGTCAGTAGAGTTGGTTAAGTTGTTTGTAGCTAACTTGTACTAGCAACACCTAGGTGTGACGTAGTAATCAATAAAGTATAATCACGAAGTCTTATGTTCAAATTTCAATCGAGACAAAAGAATACTAGTAGGTGACTTGGTCATTACCTAAATCTCGATGAATAGAGTTTCTGATACCTCTATTGATGAGAAGCAACAAATGTCCGATGAAATAATCAAGGTGCCTAAATAAGAAGTAGACTACACTTGTAAACCTCATCTCATGGGTTAACTCGGCATTTTTCATTCAAATAATCTTTCCAAAGTTAACCTAACCTCGTTACCTTTTGAAAAGGTGTTAAATAGTCTGTTGCCCTTTACGCCTTTATTCTTCATGGAAATAATCGTTTAAGTGCACGTAAACTAATCCGAACATAACCACATCTTAGAAAGAGATTGAATACCCTTTATCATATAAGCAAGAGTAGTTATCAGCTCATAAAAAATGGCTTGTGAAGCCAGCCAGCCAGCTTGAGATGAACCACTATACAGTACCCTCAAATTGCAGAGGGGTTGGGTGGGGTACAAATAGATTAGATGAATTTTATAATACATTGGGATCTGAGCCCCTATTAAAAGACAAAGATGTATGTAGGGTCTAAGCCAATGGCTAGAGAGTCAAAAATGGCTGACGACTCTACAGAACTTAGGCAGGACCCACCTATTCATCACATCAATAAAAGTAGACAGAAAGAGAGAGAAATGTTTATTCTCCTATGTGATGCGTGTGGGGCCCTATTTTTTAAAATTCTGCAATCAACTAAATTACATCACATAAATTGAGATCGACCTCGACCGCATTAATCTTCAATTCCTTTATATGATCACACATGCGCGGAGTGTGCTTACAAAAATAGGGTTCGGAGAAGATGATGATATATGCAGATCTTATTTTTATCTTTATAGGGGTAAAAAGGTAATTTATTCAGGGTCGGCTAATTTAGATGTCTATTTGAAAAGTTTTATTTTGAGGTTCCTACAAAAAGACAATTTCATATGTAGAAGTAAGATTCGAGATCTCTGTGTTTAAGACAGGAGAAATTCTATCCATCTCACTACGATTTTCGACGGGTGGTGTTCTCCACTTGCTAAGGAGTAGAGTGAGAAGATTTTTTTGGGTGACGTGGCTCTGTGAGAAGTTTGTTTCATGGGGCCCATTTTTTGTCGGATTTAAAAGACATTTGGACGTGTGAATTGGGCCCTACAAAAGAAAGTGGCGTTTCTTAATGGGCCCAATACTTTACAAGTGGATGGCCCAACTCAAAGGGGTCCCTTCTTTCAAAAATAGCAATCACTACATGGAGCCAAAGTTGTCAGCTTTAGCCTCTTTTTTCCTTCTCATGCCACACTTCAAAGGAATTTACTACACTCCCTACGTTTCACGAAGAATGACCTAATTTGACTTGATACGGAGTTTAAAAATATAAAAAAGACTTTGTATCTTGTGGTTCAAAATTAAAATTATATTAAATATATAAAATTGCCCTTTGATCTTATGGTCTTAAACATACCACGTGAAAAATTGAAATTAAAATACCAAAAAAAGAAAGAGGTCATTCTTTCTTAAACAGGCTAAAACGAAAAGGAGATCGTTCTTTTTTAAACGAAGGGAGTATTATTCTTTTCTCCATTACGTTTATTATGATTGTTTCACTCCTGTATTTTCTAATCGTGATTTTATTAGGGTTAACTTAAGCCGAGGGTCTATGGAAAAATAATATCGTTATCTTTCGATATAAAAGAAAAGTAGTATAGAGATAATCCTCTCAATATCCCATATATATATATATATATATATATATATATATATATTGAATTTGTTTTTTTGTTTTTGGGAGTTCTTGAGAAAGCCACAACCTTCTTTTACAGTTTCTTCCAATTGGGTGAGCACTACACTTTTTGGTAACCTAAGACCTAAATCACATTAGGTAAACCCTTAGAGTCTATATTAAATATTTTTATTTGCTTTAGAAATCGTGAGAAACCACCAACTTTGTTATAATCTCTGCCTTTTGAAGGAAAATTTTGTTGTAATCCTGGTTACTTTGAAATAGTTCTCAAGATGTAAACTGCACTAGGCAAGACTTATGTACGAGCTTATAACTGTGTGACAGACGGAGGCTGAATTTGATCT